TGCAATATATAAAGTAAAGGTACAGGTTCTCCTAGCACATGTGTGCTAGTCGTTCCCGACTCTAGGGGGCGGTGCTCATCTCGGTTCCAAAGCGGAAGAACCAGCGCTGTCCAAAGTCGTCTCCGTGGTCATGTGGCCGGCATGACTCAACGCCAAAGGCACACGGAACGCTGTTCCCTTCCCACCAAAGGTGGTCCCTAATTTTCTACTTGCATTTTTTTTAACGTGCTTTCAAACTTCTAGGTTGGCAGAAGCTGGGACAAGTCACGGGGGCTCACTCCGTTACGCGGCGCTGGGGATCCGAACCGCCGAACTGCCGACCTTTCGGATCGACAAGCTCAGCGTCTTAGCCACCGAGCCACCGCTTTCCTTATTGCAATAGATATCATTGGATACGTGTGACGGGAGTTGCAATCCACTGTCTTTGTTTATATTTTGTATTTCTCAACTTTGTCTTCTTTAAGATGGGAGGACTTCAACTCCCAGAATCCCTTGGCCAGTTATGCCAGCTGGGGAATTCTGGGAGTTGACGTCCACTCGTCTTCCAAGTTGCAAAGACTGAAAAACGCTGGCTAGCTTCAGTTTTCCTAACCTGGTGTCCGTCCCTTCTCTCCCCCCCTCGCCAAAAAAATAAATCTTGGGCTGGTAACTTATTAATTATTCTTGGAAAAAATGATAAGGTATCAATTACACATTTAGCCTGAACCCACAACTGAGGGGTCATTCCCAGCAAAGGATAACCAAGTCACAACCGGCAGGCTGAGAAATGGGGACCCTAGGAAGGAGATTGATCCCATTAGATGTAAACTGAACCTCCATGTTCAGGAGAAATTCTGTTCCAGACAGGCCCGCTGTTGGAAGACGAGGAGCCGATTCGAGCGCCATTCCTGTGCATCTCCCTATCGTTTCCCGATTAACAGATGGGACACCTCCCTTACATGTGTCTCTACCACTGTGTCTCCCGTACTCTCCGGGCGCAGTTGGAGAGCTACAATTCCCAGAACTATCCAGCCAATTCGGCCTTTGGAATGACGAGAGCTGCAGACTCCATGAAGCTGGATACTTATCCCCCACAAAAAAAAAAACACGTTAATTCCACCCCTGCTGAGTGGGCGCAAGCTGTATTTTTCTCTGCATGCATGCTAGTCGGAGATGCCACCGAGCGGGTGCAATGGATCCCGACGAGAATTTGGGATTCTACAGCTCCTGGCAATCCGAATCTCATTTGTTTCGTTACCGCGGAGGTGGAATCTTCCGATTCCTTTCCAAACCTGCAGCCAGAGGCTGTATCCATCCCCCCCCTCCCACCAGCAGGGGAGTCAAGGCAGGCCAAACCATGCTAGGGCTTAAAACAAAAGTGTGTTCAGGAAGGTGGTGGACACAACAGGAAAATGCTGGCTGTTGCAGAGAGGGCATGCATGCAACGTTTTGGAGTGGAGGTAATAGACGGAAATCCCATGGCAGCTTCCGGGGTGACATCCTGGCGTCTGGCGAATAATGCACCATGCATTGGGAGAACAGGAAGGGGGGGTGGTAGGCAGGCCCTCGCATTGCGCATTACCTGGCCAGATGATAGCTTCCAGCAAGGTGACTCTCCTAGCCAGGAGCTCCAGCTGGGCTTGCTGTTCTAGGAAACTTGGCAAGCTAATGGCCTGGCGGGGAAGCGAGAAGAGCAGAGTGGAAATTGATTGCCCCACCCAGAGGGAACAAGAAGGGGAGTGGGGGAGTCCTGAGCCGGGTCCTCTGGAAAGATGGCACTGGGAGGGTGAGTATGGGGCAGAAGGTCTTCCTTGTGGGGCAGAGAGAAAGGTACCTAGGGATTTCTCCCATATATGGAACCTGTGGGAAGCGAAGGTTCCACGTTTGCTTATCAAAAGCCATCTGGGAATATTGTAAATCAGGGGTGGGGAACTTTTATGATTTGTGGACTTCAACTCCCAGAATTCTGCCTCATTGCTGGCTCTGGAATTCTGGGAGTCCTCTGGTCATAAAAAGGGCCATTGTTCCCCCCACCTCTGAAGTAGCATAGCCTTTATTGTCATTGTACATCATGTATACAACGGAATTGGTTAAAAGGTAATCTTATTCAGCCTTGGCTAACGCAACTAATCCTATATGCATTCCAGTTGCCAAGTGCCTGGATCACAATCGCACACCTGCGGGAATGCCGCAACGGTTGTAAGCGTGAGGAACAGCTGTAAGTCACGTTTTGCGATGTTGTTGGAACTCAGAGTGGTCATTAAGCAAATGGATGTAAGTAGAAGACTACTCGGATGAAAATAAAGACTGCTTTCTGCATTTAAAAAAAAACCACATTCCATTTAGTGACAAAGTGCAGCAGTGCCTTTTCTTAGTGACATTGTCTACAGCCTTCTTAGTGATGCGGTGGCCTAGAGGTGGCGCTCTCCCCTCACAATCAGGAGGCTGTGAGCTTGATCCTAGGTGGAGGGAGATAATTCTCTCTCTAGGCACACTGAGAATATATCTGTTGATTATAACTCCATACTGGCGACAGGGAAGGGCATCTGGCCAGTAAAAACTCAGTTCTATTCCATTGCCCAGCCTCCACCACACAAGGGGTTATGGGGTTGTTATTTGTTAAGCATTTTTACAGCCTTCTTAGTGATGTGGTGGCCTAGAGGTGGCGCTCTCCCCTCACAATCAGGAGGTTGTGAGCTCGATCCTAGGCAGAGGCAGATCATTCTCTCTCTAGGCACACTGAGAATATATCTGCTGATTATAACTCCATACTGGCAACAGGGAAGGGCATCTGGCCAGTAAAAACTCAGTTCTATTCCGTTGCCCAGTCTCCAACACACAAGGGGTTATGGGGTTGTTACTTTGTTAAGCATTTTTTTTTACTACCAGTTCGGTCGAACCGGCCCAAACCAGTAGCATTCCCCCCCCCCTGCCCTGACCCCAGACCTGATCTTTGACCTATCCTACCCTTGGAGATCTACAAAAGGCCTTGAATATCCGTGCCCCTTTTCCCTGAATTCCTGAGATCTTCCGAATACAACTTCTTAAACTTCTGGATTCTCATTTACAATCACCATTTCTGAAAGTTCCTTTAAAGCAAGCATGGACAGATCTGGAATAAGGATCCTGGGGGAATTTTTTTTTGGCACCCAGGAAGGTATGAATAAAAGACTTTAAAAATAAAAGGCTGAGTATGTCGAATCAATTATTGTCACAGTCCCTGCACCCTTAAACCCCACACTTTGACGGGGCCGATTCCTGAGGTCTCGTCACTCTCTGGATCTGGATCCAGCTGCTCCCAGCTGCTCCCTGCAAAATCCACACAGCATCCGTCACCGAGATGTTGTAAAGAAAATAAAAGATGTTTCCTTTCTTTTCTCACCAGGGGGAGCCCTCTGAATGCTAATGGGCCAAAATCCCAGTCAAGAGCTTAGGTACCTATTAAGCAGCCTCTGAGAAGGAAGGAAGGAAGGAAGGAAGGAAGGAAGGAAGGAAGGAAGGAAGGAGAAAATAGGATGGGAGGGAGGGAGGAAGGAAAGAGAAAATAGGATGAATGGGAAGGGAAGGTGGGAGGGAGAGAGGGATGGATGGACGGGCAGAGGAAAAGGAGGAGGGAAGGGGGGAGCATGAGAAAGGAGGGGGGAAGGAAGGAAAGGAGGGAGGGAAGGAAAGAAAGGAAGGTAAAGAGAAGCACGATAGAGAAGAAGGAAGAAAAGAACAGGGAGGAAGGGAGGGAAGGGAGTTAAAGAGCACGATAAAGAGGAAGAAGGAAAGAAGGAAAAGAGGAGCATGGGAAAGGGGGAAGGAAGGAAGGAACATGGAGGGAGGGAAGGTAAAGAGCACGATAAAGAGGAAGAGGGAAGGAAGGAACAGGGAGGGAGGAAAGGTAAAGAGCATGATAAAGAGGAAGAAAGGAGGGAGGGGGAGCAGGAGAAAGGGGAAAAGGGAGGGAAGGAAGATATAAAGAGGAGCACGATAGGAAGGAAGAAAAGAACAAGGAGGAAGGGAGGGAAGGAAGGAAGGTGAAGAGCATGAAAAAGGCAGAAAGGAGGAAGGAAGGAGCAGCGAGGGAGGAAAGAGGGATGAAGGGAGAGAAGGAAGGTAAAAGGGACCACGATAAAGAGAAAGGAAGGAGAGAAAAAAAAGGGAGAAGGAAGAAAGGAACCAGACCATCTGGCCAGAGTGGGATATCCCCCTTTTAATATGCACCAATCCAGCTGCCCCCCCCCTCCCCAAACACAGAGAGAGGAGGGTCCAGGAAGCTTCTCCCAAGAGATGCATCCATCCCAGCAAGAGTCTTTTGCTACCTTGCCACCTTCCCCATCAAGAGGGACAACACCTGGGATGCCGGAAGATGCAGCCCCCCTTCTATCTGGGGAGATCAAGCTTGGGGAAGGTGGTCTCTGAGACCCCCGGGTCCCCCTTCGCCCAGAGAGCTGCTATAACTTGATTCGGTCTGTCCTCCTCCTCCTCCTCCCTTTCACTGTCTCTACTCACCATGCAGCCCAATCATGGCCTCCAAGATTAAAACCCTTTCTGCTAAAATCTTCAAAGCCTCTCGGAGCTGGTGTAAACCCTCCCCCTGCGGACGAAAGAGACAGACACAGCCGTGAAAGGGAGGCACGCACACGCGTGTGCAAGGGTGGGGAAGCCGGGGAGGGGGGGGAGAGAGAAAGGAGAGCCAGGGCCCCACATTTCCTTTCCTAGATCAGGGGTGAAATTCAGCAGGTTCTGACAGGTTGTGGAGAACCGGTAGCGGAAATTTGGAGTAGTTTGGAGAACCGGCAAATACCACCTCTGGCTGGCTTTTGCAGTATCCTTCCCCCTGGAGTGGGGAGGGAATGGGGATTTTGCAATATCCTCTCCCTGGAGTGGGGAAGGAATGGAGATTTTGCAGTATCCTTTCCTTGGAGTGGGGAGGGAATGGAGATTTTGCAGTATCCTTCCCCCAGGAGTGGGGAGGGAATGGGGATTTTGCAGTATCCTTCCCCTGGAGTCGGGAGAGAATGGAGATTTTACAGTATCCTCTCCCTGGAGTGGGGAGGGAATGGAGATTTTGCAGTATCCTTCCCCTGCCACGCCCACCAATCCACACCACGCCCACAGAACTGGTAGTAAAAATTGAATTTCACCACTGTTCTAGATGGTCCCAACTTTCTCGCAGGCATCCCGAACCACTAAACGCTTGGGGTGTGTGTGTGTGAGAGAGAGAGTCAGTCAGTCAGTGTGTGCGTGCATGCGTGTCTGTGTGTGTGAATGCAATTATTATTCACCGGCAAGTCAGTTGTTCATCCTTCATGCAGAGTTTTTCTGACGGGAGGAAGCTTCCATGCAGAGAAAGAAGAACCGGCTAATGCAGGATTTCGGGGAAATCAATGGGATAAACATGGGGAGCCAGCATGCTGTCCAAGAGAAGGGGAGGAGAGAAAGCGGGTGCATTTCTGCATTCCATCCTCCGGTGCCTGCAAACACCCCCCTCCCCACCACAAAATATTACAGGGTTAGGAGTTGGGAGTCATCCACACCAATCCTCGGTCCGGTAGTGCAAGAAGCTTGCCGCGACCACGTACCATGGCCCAGCCACAACGGGTTAATTGGTGATTATGAACGAATTCATTTGTGATTCATGCTTTACGGGGGGGGGTTGGTTTCAAAGAGCTCCAGAGGTCATCTAAACTAGCTTTTCCTGACCACCTTCTCCTTGGCTGAGCTGTGATTGACACCTCCACCCCACCCCCCAAATGAGTTAAGAAGCCCCATTTACCTGTATCTTATTGCTGTCGTTTAAAAGTTGCTGGGTCGGAAGGAAGAGCAGGGAATAGTTTAAAAAATAATATTAAACTACGGTAAGGCAAAGGTAAAAGTTTCCCACTCACACATATGTGCTAGTCGTTCCTGACTCTAGGGGGCAGTGCTCATCTCCGTTTCAAAGCCGAAGAGCCAGCGCTGTCCGAAGACGTCTCCGTGGTCATGTGGCCTGCATGACTCAATGCCGAGGGCGCACGGAACGCTGTTCCCTTCCCACCAAAGGTGGTTCCTATTTTTTTCTACTTGCATTTTTACGTGCTTTTGAACTACTGGGTTGGCAGAAGCTGGGACAAGTA